ACACACACACACACACACACACACACACACACACACACACACACACACACACACACACACCTCAACACGCGCGCAACTAGTACTAACGTGGTACAAGTACTAGTAGTAGTAGACCTACCTTTTCCATCATCAACGGCATTAAAATGTACGTCATACTTTTGCCATATCCTGTTGGTAGTAGTCCAAATACGTCTTTATTATTAAGAAGATGGACTAAAACACTAATTTGCTCAGATTTCAGAGTAAAGTCGAACTTCTTTTCTTCGGCAATATCGCCATAGAGTTGTTTTACTTTGTCAGCGTCCATCGTGTACAGAGACGTCAGCCTTAAGCTGACAGAGATGTCAGCCTTAATTATTTCCGAGTGAATCCGAGGCTACCGGAAGTGAATTTCATTGGTCGATCGAAAAATCTGTACAATATGGCCAAAAATATCGAAGTTACTCTGACTAGGATGAATTATTGCATGAAAACCATTGGATAGGTGAATCGAGTAGCACTGAGGGCGTGACGGGGTTATATCCGACCCAAAATATCAAGTACAGACCTTCTGTTTGTCAATATCGCTTTCCGAAGACTTTATCTCCGTTTCAGAACTTTGTTTTCATGCAATAATTCATCCTAGTAAGAGTAACTTCGATACTTTTTCCACAACAAAAATTGCAACAATTTTTACAAGGGTGACTGCAGACGATAAACCCGCACCCTCAGATTAGCAAAGCGGAGTTTACGTCTGCATTTGCGGACTACTATCTAATAGTAATATGCAGAACCGTACCTCGTCTACTCCACTAACGAGTCTAGGGAGTCGCCTACGCCTACTCCCTAATCCTAACCCTAACCATATCAAATAGTGACCAGGGTACGTTCCGGTATACCGGACCGTACCCAGGGTACGTTCCGGCAGTACCCTGGGGGACATAGACCCTATGAGCAGTAGTAGGGGCCTACTTCAGAGTTCAGTGACTGAGACTGAGACTGAGAGTGAGAGAAAATTCATAATCGGGCGTCTTGTACACTGACACTGTATGTATAATCATGATTTTTAAATTGTTCAGTAAAACGTTGAAGTTATGTATGTGCTATACGCAACCGTAGAAATAGTTCCTGGTATTTCCGCAAAAGAAAACGAATGTCCCAGCAGTGAAGATTTCGTTATGTTATGTTCACCGCCATTTCTGTCTTTTCATTTCCGGTACCGGTTACCTTACCCTGAGGATTCTATATTTTAAACTAAGACTTTAACTTTTATAATTGGACAATAGCACGATGTAATTTCTTAGCAGAAAGACAGGTAAATCTTTTTATAATTTAACCTACTTAGAGAGCATGTAACTATTCCTGATATACCTAGTGATTTCGATTTATTAAAATACATATTTAACCTCTGTGAGTGAGGTAAGGTTACCAACAGGCAACATGGCGGCGGCCCTAGTTAGAAGAACTACTGCCACCAGTCTTTTAAGAATTCATCCGGCATTATTACCACAACAGGTAATTCGAGTTTGCATCATATCGTAATAAATGTCTATCACGCGTATCTGGAATTATCTTATATGGACATTATTTTACAAGTGCCTAAATCTGCTTTTGAACAAAATGTTAGGGCACTAAAATTAAATTCCATTTTATTACTAAGATTAGGTACTGACATTCAGTCATTCTGAATGATAGTTGATATTAATGTCTAATGATACGTTGCAGGACCATTACGGTATAACGTACAGGAATACATAGCTTAGCCTAACACAAACCTATTGGTGAATCCTGGTTGGGCCTACTGAAACCGAGATTCGATAAACAGAATCCAATGGCAATGACAATGTGTTTAGCTCTTACGACGTGTAGACTGTAGAGTCAAGAGTGTGGGCCCTAAATTTAAATGACAATGTAGCTGGCTAGAGTGCAATATGAGTTAATACAGAAAACTGGTCAGTGGTCTACTTTAGGATCCCGATAGACATTATTGTCATCATGTTTAAGTGGAAGCGTAATCCTAAGCAAATCCTAAACTAATCTGGACCCCATCATGTAGGCTTATATCTGGAGGTGGTAAAGTAGTTTGCCTGGACGTAGTGCTGTAAATCATTCATTATATGAGCATCACATGGTCACGATATTGCCATACACATCATAATATTTAGGTTTGATAGTAATAAAGTAATAATATATGATGGTATAATATTGGGATGCCTGAACTATATTCGCATCATTTGACCTCATGAATCATGATAATCGTACGGCTTGTTGTTCCCTATCAATGTTGGTAGAAACTGCTGTCATACTATTCATGTGTTGTGATTAACTCAAAACGTGTTTCCATCATGGAGTATACTCATGGGGGGCTTAGAGATATATATTTATGGGTCGAAATCCTAAAGCCTAGGACACACTAGCGATTCTGTGCGCTGCTCTGCAGCGTATATTTTCGCTCACGATTTTAGAACGCCGTACGAGTTGCGCGTACAGCTGGACACACTGAGATTTTGTACGCTGGCCGTGTTAGAATGTACAGTAACAGGTGAAAATAAATAAAGTCAGAACAGTGTGTGTCAGGCAGGAGGTTGTACATGTTCAACTCGAATTAAAATCAAATTTGCTGAAATTCTACAAATAGCCCATCTATAAATAATATATAAGTAATTAAGGGCTGTTGTCAATTGTCATACTTATAGGCACAACACTGCCATACGAAATCGTCAACTAAATAATGAACATAATTCGATTTATTGAACTGCCTAGATCCATCTGGCTATTTATTTGATTATATCAACAGACATAGAGCAAAACTTATATATTGGGTTAAAGGGAGAATAGTATTATCAGGAGCTCTTAAAGTTAGGTATAAATATGTTCGATTTGTTCTGATATGTTGATCAAAATATAGGATCAGCTATGTGTGATCGATGTATGTTTACATCTGCCATGGGTCATTGCGCAACCGGCTCTACAACTGCTGCTCCCGCTGCGCCACCTGCTGACAAAGCTAGTGGCTAACCCCATTAAGCATAATTAATCATTTAGATTAGTGTAGTTTTTTAACATGTTTATCTTCAAAACAATAGAGACACTTTTGGATAAAAGTATATCCAATTTATTTACTTAACTGATGATGCACTGAGTTTTTGAATTGAATATTTCAAATTTTAAAATAATTATCATTAAAATGCTTCTTTTTCTTAGTTATGTCCCACTCAGTCTTCTGTTTCACACAGACAAGAGGCTTATTGTATTGACTATTGTGTATTAATATAATACACATGTATATTATAAATATTACATACTTTATATTGAAATACTATATTGCATAATCTTTTCAAATGAGTAAATGTAACCAATGTTTATATTTTTATCTTTTAGGGCAACCTTTCAAGTTACAGCAGTTACTCATGGGGAAAGAAGATTGTGAGTACATCTGTTTGTAATTTAATTTTGATTATAGCTACATAATTACATGTTAAAAATCTGATAATTAACATACATGTATATATACACACGTATGCAAGCACGCACACACGCACGTACACACACACGCACACATGCACACACACACACTCACAGTCACTCGCACACAGATACATTTCACATGTTTAGTAGCAGTCTGAATGTAGTGTGCATAGTAAGTGTGTTGTTAATGAATGCTTATTCATGACAATTGTAGGTTCTTGGCACAACAGGTCTATTAACTGCTGGTGGATTAGGTCTAGTTGCTGCACTAAACCATTCTGTAAAAGCAACAGACCTAATTCTTCATCCTGCCAAACTGCCATGGAGCCATAAAGGATGGTTTAGCTCTATAGATCATGCCAGGTGATGATCACTGGACGTCTCTGTTTCAGTCTGTTTAGTAGTTTTTAAATGTAGAGTTAAGTGTTTCATCATTTTTAGCTATTTTACTTGTTAATGATAAACCTGGTGCCACCTGTTGGGTAGAAAATGAATTTTTTCTCACGTCATTTCCATATACATTTTCTATTACAAAGGCTTTATGTTCGGTGTTGTTTGGTTAATCAAAATCGTTTACAATAACAATTGATAGCATTACTAAATATAGATTTGTGACATTAACATAATCACTGCAGCATCCGACGAGGTTATGAAGTCTACAAGCAGGTGTGTGCCGCCTGTCACAGTATGAAGTACATCGCTTACCGTAATCTGGTGGACGTATGCCACACAGAAGCTGAGGCAAAGGCAGAAGCCGAAGAGGTGAAGTGCAGTAAACAATTGATCCAGTTAGTTTTGTATCTGTGGTAGCTAATCATGGATAGATCTTTTAGCGAAGGTCGCAGTTTTACTGCTATTATTGACTTGTAAGCGCAGTCAGTGAAATTGATTTTGTATATGTAATTACGAAAATACCTTTGTAGCTACCATTGTAAGTGCATTTATCATAGTTAAATTGTGAAACAACAAAATGTGTGGAAGCTTGCACCGTGTAACTGCATTATCACTAGTGACACGATTGCAAAAACACCGTGATTAGTGGATATAGTTTTTAGCTCATCTGACATAGTCAGATGCAGCTTGTAGAATCGCATGAGCGTGCGTCCGTGCGTCCGTCCGTCCGAGCGTCCGTCCGTGCGTCCGTCAACAGTTGGGCACAAATCTAAACGGCTCGACGTACGGATTCGAAAGTCGGGACGTGGGGGGGTAATCCGAAATCGAGTTGGGATGTCGAAGCTGGGGGTCAAAGGTCAAAAGGTGTAAAAGAAGGGGGAACATTCCCTCCTTAACTTAAGGTATAGGGAGGAAATGCAGAATTGCGGCACAAATCTAAACGGCTCGACCTAGGCTCGTGATAGTCGGTGTATAGCATCATGGTAGGAAAAGCCATCACTGTGCCGAAATTGGAGGTCAAAGGTCAATGGGGCACAGGGCAGATTTTAGACATTTTCTGAGGACTTTTTTGTTTCAGCGGTGACCTAGAATTTTTATGGCTTTATTGAAAGGGCCATGAAATGTACTTTCTGCTGACATACGAAGAGTAAG